GGGGGCCTATGATTACGACGAACTCCTTGTAATGGCAGATCATTTAATGGAACGGATTGAAACTGCCTGCCTGCACAGTTCGCTACAAGTAACAGTAGATTACGAGGCAGCACAGAAAACCCTGATAAAAATGAGAACGGCCTTATACCAATAAACCATTCTCATTTTTAAACCCAATCACAACAAAACAAACAGCGCGGGATTTAAAAATCCCGCGCAACCTGGGTGCGGATTTACAATCCGATTTACTACTTCAGGGATACAACACCCATGCCCACAAACCCTAAAATAGAATCTTCACCTTCCATTTTTAAGCTACGCCATGCAACATATTTTCAGCAGCCTACGTATGCCCCTCCAATAACCTGAGCGCCTAAAGTAATGGCACTTCCTTGCGCGCACTACCCTTCCCCGAAACCCCTTCATACTTCACAAAGCAGGCAATCCATATTGAGCGGGAGAGCCGCTGCAATAACGGTTGCAATATCATTAGTAAAGCGGCATTGATACCCAACCACCAAAACAAACGGTTATCATCAATAGCAATACCAATTGTAAAATACCAGGTCAGAAAGCTAATGGCACAAGTCAGTACCGACAGGCCGTAACTCACATATCCCGTACCAAAGTAAAAACCGGTCTGCAATTCATAGGCCTGACCACATACCGGGCAATGTTCCGGCATCCGCATGGTGGTCTTGAAATTATACGGATTGGGATTGGTAAAGAGTTTTCCTTCGCGGCAACGGGGGCAACGATTGGTCAATATACTGGCTACAAGGCTTCGCCCTGCATGTTGTTTTTCAGCACACATGATGTATGATTTTTAAGCTGTTACTGTATTACCTTCTTAAATTCTTCCGGTGTGGTACCCGTGTACTTTTTAAAGAATTTGGTGAAGTATGAATTATCTGTAAAGTTCAATTGATAAGCAATGTCCGAAATCGTGGTATCTGCATTTACGAGCAGCCGTTTGGCTTCCACCAGTATCCGGTCGCGAATGATCTCACCGGCCGACTTGCCTAAAAAATCCTGGCAAACTGCATTCAGGTGATTGGGGGTAATATAGAGCAGGGCAGCATAATCTTTCGGCAATTTATATTGTGCAAAGTGCCGGTTGACCAGCTTTCTGAAATTATCCAGCACTACCCTGTTCGACTGTTGCGGTAAGCTCACTGCAGCACTCCCCGCAATGGTACCGGCTACGAGATTGAAAATACGCAGCAGTGACGCGCGGATCAGATCCAGGCCATAATTATTCGTATGTTTTACCTCTTCAATAATATGCCGGAAGCAATTTTCAACAGCAGCACTGGCCGGTGTATCCAGCTGCAACACGCCTTCGGCAGCATCACCACTAAAGAAAGAGAAGCG